AAAAAAAAAAAAAAAAAAAGATTTAAATTTCTAGCGGGGTGCCAGTGGCTCACACCTGTAATCCTAGCTACTCAGAAGGCTGAGATCTGAGGATTGCTGTTCAAAGCCAGCCTGAGCAGGAAAGTCTGTGAAATTCTTATCTCCAATAAATCACCAGAAAACAGGAGTGGCGCTGTGGCTCAAGTGGTAGAGCACTTGCCTTGAGCTGAAGAGCTGAGGGACAGCGCCCAGGCCCAGAGTTCAAGCCCTAAGACCGCCAAAATTAAAATAAAAACATTTAAATTCCTCAAGATTTGACAGGATTTTCTAGGAGTGTTCTTGAGCTGTTAATATCCGTATAGGTCCCAGGCCTGGATGAGGGGCCGGCCAGGAAATGGCTCCTTAGGTTTTTCCATGCATGGATATATTGAAGACAGGAAAATTCAAATTGTGTTCCCCTTTAAATTGCTAGTTGGTCGGTAGGTGGCACCCAAGAGCAAACTAATCCCCCATTTCTGCCTAAGGAGATTCTCTAGAGTGGATAGACGGCAGCTCTCCGAGGATGGAGGGAGTGAAGGGTGGGAAGGAGACTCAGAGATCTGGGAGACAAGAGTCCACTTTCATACTTCCCTAACACGAACTTATCAAATAAAATCAAAGATGCTCGGATAGGCAATGACACCTTCATACACCCGGGTTCCAGGCCTGAACAGCAAGCTAGGGAAACTTCTCTGAGGAGACAGATACAGGGCTGGGGTTGGGGTCCCCCCACTTCCCTTCTATGAACTTATAAAAGCCCAACTTTTGTGGGGAGTGAGAGCGGAACTGGGGTGTGAGCTCAGAACCCCAGAAACAAGCCCTCTAGCTCCTCTTGCTTTATTTTTCTGATAGGGTGTTCATTGGTTTGTGTACTGGGACAGCCATGTTCACTAATCCTATGTGTGCTCTGTGCATAGCTGGCATCACAAGCATGCCCCACCATGCCCAGCCTGTGGGTTCAAAAGCGGCCTCACTGACTTTGCCCAGGATGGTCTAGAACCATGATCTCTCTTATTTGCTGAGTAGCTGGGATTATATGCATGAGCTATTGAGCCTGGCAAAAGAAAAGTATTTTAAGTAGTAATTCCACCTCAAGGTATTTTATTATTGTTATAAACATTGTTCATTAAGATTACATATAACTCTATACAGAGACTATTTAAGCTTTTAGCTTCTTATAGGATTTATTTTCATTTTAAAGTGGCTTTGTTTTGTTTTTGTCAGTCGTGGGGCCTGTACTCTGGGCCTGGGCACTGTCCCTCAGCTCTTCAGCTCAAGGCCAGCGCCCTACCACTTGAGCCACAGCGCCACTTCCGGCTTTTTCTGCTTATGTGGTGCTGAGGAATTGAACCCAGGGCCTCATGCATGCAAGGCAAGTACTCCACCACTGAGCCACCTGCCTAGCCCCTAAAATAGTTTCTTGATGCAAGCATAAAAGCCATTTGAAAGCCTGGTGTCTGTGGCTTATACCTATAATCTTAGCTACTCAGGAGGCTGAGATCTGAGGACCGCAGCTTGAAGCCAGCCTGAGCAGGAAAGTCTGTGAGACTTAAGCTACTCAGACAAAAAAAACCCAGAATGGCACTGTGGCTCAAGGAGCAGAGTGCTGACCTTAAGCACAAAGACGCTCAGGGACAGCAGCCAGGCCCAGAGTTCAAGCCCCAGGACCACCACCACCCCACCCACCAAAAAAAGCCATTTGTTGAACCTCTTAGCTAAAATGGGTATTAACGAGTACTAAGTATTGGAAATTTGAGCGATCCGGTAACGATGCTTTATGAGGACTGTGTGATCGTCCCCATTTCCAGACCATCTCTGCCCTCACGGGAGTCCCAGGATTTACTGTTTTCTTGTCTTATAGCCTGAGCCAGGACCTCCAGACAGCGGCATTGATCCTCCCGGGCCGCAGTTGAGAGTCTAGTTGGAACACGATTGGCGCTAGAATTCCCCGAGGTCAGAGCGTGTGGGTTTCCTTTGGTTGCTGGTCTTTCTGGCTCTTTTCTCCATTTCACCTCTGGCTGTGTGGCTGAATTCATCAAGTATCTTCAGTGTGCTTTGCTGTAAGCATTCGGGGTTGGCAGTTACTCACCAAGCTGCCACAGAGGGGCGGGGGGGGGGAACGAGGGGGTCCACCATCCTGCACCCCAGGCTGGATTTTGTTTCAGTGCATGGCTGTGGTTCAGCTCCTCGCATTTTACCTGGCATTTTCACTGCATGCAGGAGCCGAGTTGGTCTGTGGTTTGGCGTGTGCTGCCTCTGCCTGGTTGTTGCTGGTTGTTCCAAGCTGGGCTACGTGGGGAACCAGCTGAGCTCTTCCCTAGGCTCTCAGTGAGCTGCGGAGATTGACTCCCTTGCTAACCATGGGCTCCGTTCCGGCTGCACCCTTTTACAAACCTTGTGCCTCTTTCATACACCTCCAGCGGCTCTGCACTCAACTCTGCTTAATGAATATGTGCTGGAGAAAGAACCCACTGTGCTCTCTCTACCTTTTCAGTTCTTTTGCCCCTAGAGATCCATTTCATGTTCTCTTAATGTTATTTTAGCGCCCAGCACGAGTGCGTATACCTATAATCCCAGCTACTCAGGAGGCTGAAAACTGAGGATCACAGTTTGAAGCCAGCTCAGGCAGGAAAGTCCATGAAATGTAACACCTAATTAACCAGCAGAAAGCCAGAATTGGAGCTGTAGCTCAAGGGGCAGAGTGTCAGCCGTAAATGAAAAAGCTAAGGAACCACACCCAAGCCCTAAGTTATTTTCCTATCTTTGGACTTTCGGGTTTTTTGCTCTGTGGTTTGTTTTTGGTTTTTTTGTTTTCCTTTTGTCATTCCTGGGCACTGTACTGGTGCCTGGCTCTATCGATTCTTGTTACTGTTATCAAGTATATTCCCCACCTTATTTTTCCCTCGATAATAAAAACATTCAGTGCTGTTCCATTTTCCATCATGACTCACCCTGCATCGAGATCTTGATTTAAGCCGGGCGCCAGTGGCTCACGCCTGTAATCCTGGCTACTCAGGAGGCTGAGATCTGAGGATTGAGGTTCAAAACCAGCCCAGGCAGGAAAGTCTAAGAGACTCCTATCTCCAATTAACCACCAAAAAACTGGAAGTGGAGGCTGGGAAAGTGGCTCAGTGGTAGAGCGCTTGCCTTGCATGCATGAGGCCCTGGGTTCGATGCCTCAGTACCACATAAGCAAAAAGAAAAAAGCTGGAAGTGGCGTTATGGCTCAAGTGGTAGAGCGCTAGCCTTGAGCTGAAGAGCTGAGGGACAGCGCCCAGGCCCAGAGTTCAGGCCCCACAACTGGACCAAAAAATAAAATAAAATCATGATTTAAAGTTAGCCTCAGGACACCAAACAAATATAATAAAGAGATGTATAGGTGATTTTATTTAATTCCTTACCAATCAGATGTCACAAAGGACAAACTCAGCAAATTAGGCAAGTTGGCAAATCAGGAGTGCTAAGAGGCATCGACAGACAGGTGCAAAACTGGCCAGCATTTCCATAGCAATGGGCAGGCAGCCTTCAGTGGACAGAATGTGTCTGCACTTCCGCAGGCCAGGGATTTGCAGAATTATAAATTGCTGTAATTTATCACATTGTGAAGTAATGCAAAAACAGGCTTCAATCCTAACTCATACTGCCAACATAAATAAACACATCAGCCACTGGTGGCTCACGCCTATAATCCTAGCTATTCAGGAAGCTGAGATCTGAGGATTGAGGTTCGAAGCTGGACCAATCAGAAAAGTCCATGAGACTTAACTCCAGTTAATCTCCAAAAAGCTGAAAGCGGAGCTGTGGCTAAACTAGTAGAATACCAGCCTTGAGCACAAAAGCTTGGGGACAGCGCCAGGGCCCTGAGTTTAAGCCCCAGGCACACATTAAAAAAAAAAAAAGACAGACACACAGACAGGCAGACAGGCAGATGGAAGATCAGCTAACCCCAACAGAATAAATAATCCAGTCCAGGGATGGACCACCCAGTAATCTTTTAGCTACTTCAAACTCTAAATTTTCCTTTATGTATAGACTCATATATGTATTTATTTCTATTTTTTTTAACCCGTCCTGGGGCTTGAACTCAGGTCCTGGGCCCTGTACCTGAGCTCCTTTTGTTCAAGGCTATCACTCTACCACTTGAGCCACAGCACCACTTCCGGCTTTTTCCGTGTATGTGGCACTGAGGAATCGAACCCAGGGCTTCATGCATGCTAGGCAAGCACTCTACCACTGAGCCACATTCCCAGCCCTCCTGTAAATTTTTATATGAAATGCCCTCCGTGACACTTGCCTATTTCGCCTTTAGGGTTGTCTGGTTGGGTGAGGGGCTGAGGAAGCCAGGGGTGAAATAAAGGTTATGTTACCTTTTTTTTTTTTTTTCCAGTTCTTACAATTTACAAAATGGTGCTTCGGTTTTGGGCTTGTGGCATGGATGGCCTTGGGTATGAGAAGCTGCGCCCTAGGTCCATTTACAGGGGCAATTTTTGTAACTGGTGACAATTGGAGAAAAGTGGAATCAAATTGAGTTTGCTATTGGTGTCAATAATCCTCCCAATCTATTTTTGATCCACCAAAAAGAGTCTTCCCAACACCTCTCCGCAGAATTGCCTCAGTGTGTGAAAGACACAGAAAGACAGAGACACACAGAGCACTGGAACTTGAATTCAAGGCCTCAAACTTTTGCTGTTTTGATAGCTTATGGATAGAGCTCTGCCACCTGAGCCATGCCCCAAGATTGGCTTTTTTGCTTTTTGGGAGATAAGAGTGAGGATTTGGCTGGCTCAGCCTCTTGACTAGGATGCCAGGCATGAGCCACCTGGCAGATACCATTTCTTTTTTTTTTTGGGGGGGGGGGCGGTCGTGGGGCCTGATCTCTGGGGCTGGGCCCTGTCCTTCAGCTCTCCAGCTCAAGGCTAGCACTCTACCACTTGAGCCACAGCGCCACTTCCGTCTTTTTTCTTTTTGCTTATGTGGTGCTGAGGCATCGAACCCAGGGCCTCAGGCATGCAAGGCAAGCGCTCTACCACTGAGCCACCTTCCCAGCCCCAAGGAACCATTTCTGATCAATGTGATTGGCAAAAATTAGACACTTGCAGGAAAAGCTGTTCCCACGTGCTGAACATGTTCCCGGGGGTGGGGGGTGGAGATTGGGAAGCTCTAGGTTCAGGCTGCTTGGGCACGTGAGTCTGAGGTGTGGTTACGGCCCTGGATTGAAGCAGGGGAGAGGGATCCCTAGCACTTGAATCCTAAAAAGCCAAGGACTACACAAGAACGGGCCCGCCCTCTGCGTTCCAGAGGCCGCCAAGGTTCCGGGTCTCCCCAGGATCCCGCTGCAGGCTTAGAAGACACAAGGACAGGAGCACAGTAGATGTAGCTACACACCCAACCCAGCCCTGCTTAAGAAGTCTCAGGAACTCAACCTGCGGTGACCCGGCCTGACAGTGCCCAGACCGTGTCCACACGCAACCTGAAAACCAGCTAGGAAGTTGGAAGCCCATCTGCTTCAGGGACGTGAATACACACTCCCCCCAGGCCCACTGGGGAGCTGTTCTACCCCACAGGGCCCCACATCATCTCTCTAGAACCTGCCACAAGATCCAGCTCACCTGCAGCAACTTTAATCAAAAATTCAGATTCCCAGGCCTGTACTCCTAGCTGCTCAGGAGGCTGCAATCTGAGGATCATGGTTCAAGACCAGCTCTTATCTCAAATGAAGCTGGAGGTAGGGATGTGGCTCAAGTGATTGAGGGCCAGCCTTGAGTGAAAAAGCCAAGGCCCTGGCCCTCAGCTCAAGCCCTAGAACCAGTACACACACACACACACACATATACACACACAGACACACACACACAGACACACACACACACACATGCGTACCCTGCGGAGTGATAGAGCCCACCGCAACAAAGTTGTTAACAAAGAAGCAACTTTATTGAGGGGGTTGCTACACAGACCTGTCAGGGCTGCAGCACAGGCTCGGGGGCTGATACTGTGACCCCAAGCGGCCCACATCCTGGGCTTTTAAAGGCAACACCCAGGCGGTCAAGCCTGGTCACACGCAGGTGGCCAATGGAGTTACAGTCTGCCTTACTGTAGCTGTTTAAACTCACATATCACTTTGGCTTGAATTTGGCAGGTAAAAGGTGGGGTTTATATTTTGGCATCCAAAAGGCTGGGTTTCTCCCCCTAAGTGGGTGGTTGAGCAAGTTGAGCAAGATTTTTTTTGGGGGGTGTCGGTCATGGGGCTTGAACTCTGGGCCTGGGCGCTGTCCCTCAGCTCTTCCGCTCAAGGCTAGCACTCTACCACTTGAGCTACAGCGCCACTTCCAGTTTTCTGGTGGGTTATTGGAGATGAGAGTCTCACGGACTTTCCTGCCTGGGCTGGCTTTGAACCGTGATCCTCGATCTCAGCCTCTTGAGTAGTTAGGATGACAGGCGTGAGCCACGGACACCTGAGCAAGGTATCTGTTGTACCAGTCAGCCTTTAACAGAAACCGTAAGGGTGTGGGTCAGGTTGTCAGGGGGATGGGGACCAGATGTTTCCTTCCTGCCGGAGCTAGGCCCAGAGAGCCAGGATGCGGCTCTGTGATTCAGGGTGATTTTTCTAGCTTAAACACTGTCTCACCTAGTGAGTGAACATGGAGTCGAAAACGGCCTCCACTAGCTCAACATGAAGCTACTCCAGCTCGGGCCCCTCTCAGGGTCCACCTCAGCCCGCTCTGACTTGCTCCCGAGATAGGGAGCAAGGGGTAGGGTCGTACTGGGTGTGCGTCCCCATTCATTTCACGCTCCCATTCTCTCTTGCACGAATGGCATCAGTGCATTTATAACACGAGGGCCCCGCAGCAGCAGAAGGGTAAGAACCAGGGTCCAGCAATAGCCGAATCAGGCTCGTCATCCATGGGGACCAACTAAACCAGGCCTCAGACCACCCTTGCAATGCTTCACGCTTTCTCTGCCGCTCGTCCAGCCTGTTTGGTCTTTACCACCTCGTTCCTGGCTCATTAAGGTACTGACGTCAGGTGTGAGAGCAGACAGTGGCGTAGCCACAGGCTTAGAATGGGGGTTGAGTACTGGATTTGGGCTGATTGGCCTGGGAGGAGCTTCACGTCTGTTCTTTGGCTAGTGAAGAGGGAGCCCTCCTTTATCTTTTCCACTTTCATAATACCTCGGTCTCCAAATTTCACCATAGCTCCATTGGGAGTCTAGAGGGTTTTAATTCCTATAAAAATACCAGTACAGACCCGGTTGATGCTATCCTTAAAATGACTACCTCTAAATACGTCACTGGTGCCATGATGGCATGGAAGGCCCCCGTTGGTTGCCAGT